CCGCCGCCCTCCTCGTCCCCGCTGCTCCCCGCCCCGGCCCCATCCCCGTCGCTGTCCCCGCCGTCGCCGCCGCGCCACGCGCGCGTCGCGAGGTAGCGCTTCAAAAAGCGGTCCGCCTCGGACAGCTTCGCCTCCTCGGGCCCAAAGTACTCGTCCAAGAGAGCGCCAACCTTGGACGCCTCGCCGGCCCCGGCCTCGACGCCGCCGTCGGCCTCCGCGGCGCCGCCCTCGTCGCCGCCCCGCCGCCGCTTCTTCTTCAGCACGCCGCTGGCGAACCCGTCGCCGCCGCCGTCGTCTGCGTCCGCGCCGCCCCGCTCGTCGTCTGCACCCGCCAGGGCGCTCCTCAGCGCCTCCTTGAGCTGCTGCTGCTCGGCCGCATAAGAGCCTGGCGCGGGGCCGCGCCGGGCGCCGCCGTCCTCTTCGTCGTCGCTGCCGCCCTCGCTGCTGCTGCCCGCGTCGGGTCCGTGCTCAAGAGCCTGGGTGCGCCGGGTTTGGTGCGCCAGCGGCGGGCAGCGGATGAGCCCGCGGCTGCAAACATCCCCGGGTGTACGCCGCGCCGGCCACCGGGCCACAAGCACAGGGGCACGGCCGTGGCCGGCCCGCCTGCGGCGCTGCGCTCGAGAGGGCTCGCGCGGCGGCAAGGCCCACTCGTCCCCCCCCCCAAAAAAAAACCACGATCAGACGCCGGCCCACACCTGCTGCGCCAAGACACTCCTCAGGTACATCGGCTTCTCCTTGCCGCCGCGCCCCTCCCCGTCCCCGCCGTCCCCGTCCTCGTCAGCGCCGTCCTCGTCGTCAGCAAAAAAGTGGACCTCGGGTTTGAACACCTCGGGGTCGTGGCGCCTAATCTTAATGAGGGTGGAGAGAACCTGTGGAAGCGAAGAAGCGGGGGCGTTGCAGGGGGGGCGTTGTAGAGGGCGCCGCCGCGCCGCGCCGCGGAGGGAGCGTGTGGCCGCTCGGCAGCCGCCGCAAGGGGCGCCGCGGCGCAGCCGACGCGGGCCGCTGGCGCGTGCAGGTCCCGAGAAGCACCCCGTCGCACCGCCCGGACGGCCGCCGCGCCTGCAGCGGCCGGCCACCCCGTGTGCTCGCCTTTTCGGTGTCGTCCGGCGGCTCCTCCTCGTCGTCATCCTCCGATGCGCTGTCGTCCTCGTCGCTGCCGTCATTGCCGCCGCCGCCGCCGCCGCCGTTCTGCTGCTGCTGCTGCTTCTGGCCGCCGGGCTGCTGCTTTCCGGCCTGCGGGGCGGTTTGGTGGCGGCGGCCCGGGGATCGATCTGTTCCCTTGTTTCTGTGTCCCGGTCCGACCCCATTGCGTGTATGATGCCTCATAAGATGGGACCAAAGCGGCCGAACCTGCATTCGGAGGCGGAACTCCCTGGTGCAGCGTCCCTGTCCTTTCTGGCAATTGCCATCGCAGCCGCACCTGCTTTGCAAATTTGTCCGCAAGCTTCGCTGCCATGTGCGGGTGCTTCTCTTGCAGGCGGTGCAGCTCCTCGCGCCGCTTGTTGTGCTGCGCTCGCAGCAGGGGCGGGGGTGCAGGACTGTCATGGACACAGGTGGCGGCGGCTCGGCGCACCAGCGGCGGCAGCGGCGGCGCAGCAGCGCGCCCGCAAGCGGGGCGACTGTCCGCTTTGCCAGTGGCGCACCTCAAAGCGCTTGGCGAAGTCCTCGTTGACCTTGATGGTAAAGTCCTGAGGCTCCTCCTCATCGTCTAGCAGGAGCTTTTGCTTCGGCATCGTGCTACGCGTTGATCAGCGCCACAAAAGGCGAAAACGCATCAAATTTTTGTATCGTCGGCATGTCACATCAGAATCAACACCTCAAAAAGATCGCCTGTCACCCAGGTGTGTCCAGCCACTTGATCAATGTGGGCTGGCATGGGCTCTTGAGGAGCGTTGTGCAATTGTAATTGCACAGTGCTCATAGTACTACAGACCCACATCCGCAACGTCGCTTGCGATAGCCTGGGGCATCACAAGCCGCTTCGCTGTGCAAGGCAATGGCCTGCCGGAGCACTGCCCCTTTTCCAAACGGCCATGTCCAAGCTGCACGCTTGAAATTACAGACGCCAACACACATATTAGTGCTGGTACAACCGCACTGGAAACGCTCCGGGGTCGCATTTCCTGCTTGACCACCATGTTGACCCGCCCTCATCACCCGCCGCTCGTTGCCTCGTTCATTGGCCATTGCTGCCACGTCTGGTGGCAGCTGGGTTGCCATCGCGTAGAGGGGAACTGCATTGCTGTATGTACTCATCTTACTCCATCACAAGGACGATGTTTGTTTTGCAGGGCACCGTTCAAGATGACAGCTCCCAGATCAGCCAGGCCACAGGGGGTGGCCCCTGCCCTGGAATCTCTGTATGCATTCGTACAACAGGGGTCATACGATGACTCGGACCCGGAGCGAGGGTCAGGTGCGGAGACGGACTGTGCAGGCTTGTAGCAGTGCAAGCTGCGAGCGGGCTGGAAAACTCGTCAATTTGATCGCTCACGGTCGCAGAGGCGGACGCAGCGGCTCATGCCGATCCGGCGGGCTGGCGCATTGGCGATGCTGCGGTCCTGCCAGCGCTGTTTCGCCCGGTGAGCAGCTGAGCCGTGCGCAGCCAGGAGCAGTCTGCCCTGCATATGTTGGTCCAGCACCCTGCTCATCCCGTGCCGTGCCCAACACAATGGTACGGAACGCCCTCACTGCCGTGCTGCTGGCTCGCAGAAGCCGCATCCGCACAGCCTCAGGGCGCATTTGCAGCGGCAGGCACGGCGGCGAAAGCTGCAGGTAGTGGTTGTAGCCGAGCGACTGCTTGCATGCAGACGATGTCAATGCGCTTGCTGTTGCGTGTTGTGTGGGGGCCAGGATGTGCAGGGTCGCATGCGGCAGCACGGCAGGGTGCATATGTGAAGCGGCGACGTGTGACCGCCTCTGCGGCGTCGAGTTTGTAAGGCCCAACAAACTCGAGGCCTGAGGGGATGCGCTGCCCTGGCGCACGCATGTTGCATGGCGCCGCCAGGCAATGGGGCAGCCGGAACGGCCACGCAGCACAGCAGAGGCCGCTCATCGCACGGCCCCGCTGCGGCCGCCGCTGCTGCTGCGCCACGCCTGTCGCATCCACCCCACGCCGCCACAGTAGATCCCGCCCCAGCCCACCCGATGCAGTGGCGACTGCAGCCCCGCCCCCCTGGCCGCGCTGATTCCACAGGTGGAGGTCGAGTCGCAGCTCGAGGAGGCCGATTTGCGGCGCATGGTGCGGCTGCTGGAGGAGCGGGCGGAGCTCGGGGCAGGGGGCGAGGGGGACCTGCGCATCAACTACGACGGGTTTGCACAGGTGCGCGCCGGCCATGCCGCAGGGGCAGGCCCGACGGCGGCAGCAAAGGGGCTGCCGTCTGGGAGTCGGCGGCCGGGCGGGAGCGGCTCGAAAGTGCATGTCTGCGAAAATAATGCAAGTTCTGGGTCGAATAACGCTCGTCATGATGGTGGCTGGCCGCCAGCTCTGCTGCAGGCAAGTGCGTGCGATCACTTTGACGCCTTCTGCCGCCCCGCCAGGTGGCGACCGAGTGCCTGGCGTCGTTCGGCCCCCAGGTCGGCCCCTTCTTCCAGGCCGCCACCTTCCTGCAATTCGAGCGCGACGGCGCCGGCGCCATCAGCCTCCCGCTCTTCGTGCAGTACATGTCGCAGCACGCCAACGCCATGCAGCTGGTGCGCTCGCGGCGGGGCGGGACGGGGCGGGGCG